GAAAACATTTTGACAGTTACAGAATGTGTTATACAAAATAAACCACTTCTGATACTTAACTGCTCGAATATAGTTATGAAACTGTTTATTGCACATCACGATGTCTAGATTGAAAAAGAGGGTTCTTGAATGCTGGAAATCCTATAAAGATGTCGAGGAGAGGTGCAATACATCCAATGCACGACTAGGTTTTCCCACTTGATGAAATCTGTAAGATGATGTTAGGATAGCAAATGCAAATAACTTGTGTTACGTATTGGAATTTCAAATAGCCTGACATTGAGTTAAAGGATACTTTAAATTTAGTAGTTAAAGGGTACTTTAGATTTAGCAGTTAAGTAAAAGCCGATATATAGTCAGTTTATGATATTTGCTAACAAGATTGATACACAAAGTTTTCTTTTTTAATGCAAATATGTTTTAATATACAAACAACAATACACTTTACAATAGCAGTTATTACAAATAGTTTTACACACAATGACTTATATCAAAATACTTTTACAAACTTACAAGCAATATAAAGTCTTCTTTCTAATCTGGAACTTCCTTGATATCGTATCGACGGTTCACGATGAGCGAGTTAATTACGAGTTGATGTAGGTACGATTCGCTTAACGGAGAGCTAGCTAGCTTTGTCCTTCATTATTCACTAGGCACACACGCCGAGTTTTCCACGATGAAGTTAGGTAATGTTTTCGTAAAATAACTAATGTCCAATGAGAATCCACTGAAGGTAAATGATTTGTAATGTTCGAACTTTCTAAGTGCTCATGGTCAAATATCTGAAGTTTTCTAATTGATAAGTGTTATAAGAATCACAGTTATAGCTTTCGAAGTTTATAGCCCACTGACTATAGCAAAATAATAATAGATACTCTTTTTGACGCGGCACGTTCGTTATGTTTATAGGCGTGTGGAGAGTTTGTCGAAATTTCAGTTTTACGTACACACATATATTGTTGATTCTTACTCTCGAGAATCTTCTACAACTTTGGAA